CTCTCTCTATATATATATATACACACACACACACACACACACACACACACACACACACACACACACTGTATGAGTGGATATTTATGTTGTTGCAGATCAGTTTTCCTGGTTTGGAGCTTATTCCTCCTGTCACCTTTAAACTGTGCTCGGGTAAAGGACCTGTGTTCATCTCTGCTCAGCATATAACATGTAAGAGCTTGCATTGGAATACTTATATTCTATTTTATGTTTTTCGGGGTTGGGCAAAACCCACTCTTTTAGCTCCTTGTTAATTCACAAGTGGGAAGCTGACGGTTGCTGACTGGAAATTTGAATTGCAGTGACGGGAAGATTTTAGCGAACTGCAGTTCAAAAGTTTCAACATGGTTACACAGCCAAGCAGTTTCAATAGTCCAACACAAGCATTTTTTTTTTCCAATTGATTGCATACATACATTAATACTGTGAAAACAAACAAAGTTTTAATTCTAAATGGTGCTCAACCATGCCATTTCTAAAAATTCATTTCTGACTTTTTTTTTTTTTTTTGCAGTGAATCCCATTGAAATGACAGAGGGGGAGGATGATGATGATGAGGATGAAGATGATTAAGTGCCAGCGATGAGCTTATTTTGACCATCTGAACCATGATGGGTCCTGTGGGACAATGATTGTGCACCCTGTCAGTATTTGTTGCTAAAACATCACTGTGTCAACATTGAAAAACTGTATTAACTTCAAGTGTTTTAATGCTAATAATAAAATATGACTAATAAAATATCACTCTCACAGTGTAAATAATGGCACATCATTTTATCTTGTGTATTTTTCCTTATCTGTAGAATGAGATGCATACCTAATTGTACACAAAAAATAAAACAAAAAATGCATTTGACTTGAAGTGAGAAATAAAGTATATTCTATTGGTAAAATATTTGTGAATCCCACTTTTGGCATAATGTTAATTATAAAATGTATTTTGATTTCTTAGTTTGATTTCTAGCATGGAGAGGGTACGGCAGAGTTTATGTGACCCGTTGCTAGGAAACAGTCACGCATCTAAGCAACAGACAGTAAACAAACCCTTGCACGTTGTCCTAGAGCTGCAGAATGACTCGTGTTTACAGCGAGGAAAGAAGGTAAAGCACCAGCACGAGATGTCTGCTCGCTTGGTGTTTGATGGCGCCGTGTTCATGCCCTCCCAGATGAAGCTTCTGGAAGATTTCAAGCGAGACACGCACCCTGACAGAGTGAATCTCGCAGGGAGGGGTGAGTGATGTACTGCCTCTGGCCCACACTGGACACAGAATACCCACTGCCTGTAATAATGATCGTCACATAAAAGAAACTTACGAAATCAAAATGTAATTTTAGCTCGTGTTATACTCTTAAGGCCGTTTACATGCTAAATGTAAATAAAAATGTCAGAAATACAGGAAAATGGACCAAACAAATTGATTACGCACTGAACTGGTACATATCTCGTTCGTGAACGAAATGAATGAGTGTACCTGGTCAGTCGGCCATTAAGCATGTCAATCTCGATCAGCAATCAGCAGAAAGCGGATGCAAAGCGCAGTTATAGGTACTGTGCAAATAAACTTGTTTATATATTCATATTTAGCATACAGAACATAACTCAACGTTTAATCCCCGATTTATGAATGTTTAAATGTCTGACCAAACAATTAAAATATTAGTTATGCAAGAAAACCTTGTGCTTTGGTCATCTGAACAACTTATTTAGACTTTATTTAATGAGTAGATTATGCACACATTTTAATAAAGCCAAATCAGTTTCTTGTTATAAGTGAATACGTTCGTTGATTTAAGACACAACAGATAAGACACTCTTTTTCGCCACCTGCTGGCGTATTTATGTAATATGAAGAAATGGTCACTGAACGAATCAGTGAACGAATCTGAACGAATCATTTTGGTGAACGAACTGAAAATGAACGAATCTCTTGAAAGAATCAAAATTTCCATCACTACACTCTGCACGAGTTGCTACCTTGTTGCTAGTTGCGCTTTTTTTTTTCTCGCAAAAAAATTGTCAATTCTCAAGGAATACTAAACCCTAAAAAAGTCAATTTACACTACAGGTTAAAAGTCTGGAATTTATACGTTTTTTTTTTTTTTTTTTTTATTTAATCAAAAAGTTTAAGTAGTTATGCTCACGAAGTGTGAATTTGTTAAATATTATTATAATTTAAAATAACTCTATCGTTACGCCAGTCTTGAGTATTACATGATCATTCAGAAATCATTTTAATGTAGTAATTTGGTATTAACATTTATATATATATATATATCAATGTTGAAAAATTTGTGGAAACGGTCGTACTTTTTTGTCAGGATTATTGAGGAACAAAATTCACAGCATTTAACTGAAATTGGAATCTTTTGTAACATTATAAATGTCTTTACTGTCACTTTTCATTCATTTAACGTGTCTTTTAATGTGTTCTTTAAATGTTAATTTCTTTAATAATAATAATAATAATAAATCGTACCCCAAACTTACCTCAAAATATTAAGCAGTACAACAGTTTTCAACATTGATAATAAGAAATGTTTCTTTGAGCAGCAAATTGGCATATCAGAATGATTTCTGAAGGATCATGTAACACTAAAAAGTGGCGTAATGATGATGAAAATTCAGCTTTGAAATCACAGGAATAAATTACTTTTTAAATTATATTCAAATAGAAAATCATTATTATAAATTGAAATATGATTTCACAATATTACTGTTTTTACTGTATTTTTGATCAAATAAATGCAGCTTTGGTGAGCAGAAAAGACTAATTTGAACAACATTGAAAAAAATCTTAATCATTCCAAACCTTTGACTGTTAAGTGTACATCTTTCTTCTAGCCCCGTTCACACTGCCAGCGACAAAGCGACATGCTCCCATTCATTTTCAATGGATAGCTGGCGACTTCCGGCGACACGAACGACAGTGACCGTTGGCGAGTATGTGGGCGTGTCAAGCGATGCGAGTCAAGCGACAAAAGTTAAAGGGGTCATATGATGCTTTTTTAAAGATCATTATTTTGTGTATTTGGTGTAACAGAATATGTTGACATGCTACATGATGCGTAGAAAAGAAACTGTTGGCTGTTGAAGAGAGTTTGATTCATACGTTGATGGTTCGAGTTGTTATTTATATGATGAAGTGAGCAGTTTAGCTCCGGTTAATGATTTAATGCACGGGCACTGCTGTAGTTTATATAACAACATTCTCCAACAGAAGAATGGTACTTTTATTTCGTTTAAGTCTAATTCCTAGTCATATTAGAATGATATCTTCGTTTTAAAGGCAATATATATAGTTTGTGATTGCATTTTATATGTCCAGACTTGCAGTCTACCAATAACATTAGAGCGACAGCAGTAGGAACGCCCACAAGCGTCTTCACAGCACAGAGTCGCTGGCAGTGTGAACGGGGCTTAATGCACACACAACTCTGCCTGTTTACAATCAAATGTACATTTCTATCTTTCTATAGAGTATGTTGGAGAGCATGGACACACCACATGGCTTCCTCCTGTACGAAAAATCAAGCAGCAAATTTCCACAGACCCGACTCTAACCCCAAAGTACCCACACATCCTTGGGATCCCAGAATTCACCAGAAGGGCAACTCAACTTGCATTGGGCAAAGATAGCCCTGCCATTGTGGAAAGCAGGGTAACATCTTTTTAATTATTTATCTTTCTATAAAATATATTCCCACAATTGTTGAAAGCTCACATAAATCCCCAGTCTCGACTGATCAATAGTGACTTGCAAGCTGAATACACTGATAACGTTCAGGAGGCTTGGTACATACCCACTGTGTAGTTTGTTTGTAGATGGTGTAAAGCCGGTCGCCTT